GGGTATATTTTCAGTTTTCAGTGAAGCTGGGCACTTACATGTCATCCCTGAGCCCAGACTGCACTTGCTGTATAGTGAGACCTTATGATGGACTGTGGCTTGGAATGAGTCTGTGCGTCCGGGTAAGAACATGAGAGCAGCTCTAAAGAGGCTGGTCACTGATAGGCATAAAGCAAAATTTCTGCAAGTGCCAAACACCTGCAGCTTCCACCAAACCTGTGAGTTCAGGACATTATGAGAGTTCAATATTGAGTGAGTACAGGACATAGAAACTGATGTGCCTTTCAGCTGACATCTCTGTACCATCTTTATGTTCTGGTAACTCTTTCAAATTTATCGTTTTTTTTAAAGTTGAAATCTTTGATGCGGCCACCGAAGTCAGTGAGAGACAGACAAGAACAAGTGAAGGAAAGAATTCCCGCAACCAGACCCAGTAAACACTTTGCCAACCAGAATGTTGCAGGGAAAACACAACGCATCTCTTCATCGGGCTCCACTGAGCCTTCAGGCTCAAATTTGCCTCCAGACCCTGCCCTGAAGGAATGGAAACAAGTAGGTGAAACCGAAGACGGACTGATACCGAACCTCTCCTGCACAAAACCAGCAGGTGCTCTGTTCAGGCAGTATGTCTGAGTCCGAGGGAACTGTCTCTTAATAAGAAACCCATCCTTCTTGGGAGTATACTAGGTACCAAATACCTACTACTAGGTATTTGGATGCTTTTTGTAGACCTGGTAATAAAGGCTTGTGGTTTTATACCTTACTAGTACAATTTACCCAGCGTTTTCTTTTCTTAGCCGTTAGGAGGACGCAACTGCTGGGTATGAAATGTGTTTGCATGCCCTCATGTGGTCGGATCTGTTGGTACATGCGCGATTGTCAGTTTAAATAGGTCAGACTTTGCAATTGTTGGTGATAGTGAGCACCTTGTTTTGGCTGTGGTTTTAGCAGCTGAATGCTGATACTGTCCAAAAAAAACCCAACTCCTGAGACTTACAGGCTGATTACTCCAGAGTGGGAAGTTTTTCTCCTCTGGCTGTTCATTTCCTCTGGAATATTAGAGCTCTTGTCGTACTGTAATTTAATAAATTGTGACAATTTGAAAAGATTAATTTGCTTCAGTTTAGAAGCTCAAAATTGAGTTTTATGCAAGTTTACTTTTCTGAGCTTCTCTCCAGACAACTGCTTTAAGGGGCAGACAGTTTTCTTTTGCTTCTTGAGAAGCAAATCTATTATCTGAAAATGTGATTTCCCGACACCTGTCTGACCTACAAACTACCATAATGCGCACAAGCAACCCCCTCAAAATTTGGCACTACCCAGCTAACCAAGTGTCCACTGAGCCACGCTCATGAACATGAAGTGGAATGTGTTAGTGTAAACCTTGTCCAGTGAGGTTTAAACAAACACATTTTGCCTAATGTTTGCTCCTGACTACAATTACTAGGTTAGGTGACTTTAAACCATGATAATTCATCCTCAAGTCTGAATCCTGCTAAAACGCTAATATGTAAAATGTTGTTTTGAAACATGAGCTAGCCAAAGGCAATAAAGCCAAAGGCAACTCTTGTCGTGTTTAGAGCCAGCACTCCCAAGCTTAGTTTAGGTAAAACCACCGACCCATGTGGTTATCAGGGCTGTGCTGGAAAACAGAAAATGCCTCTCACACCTACATGTGAAGGCAGCAGCTTTTGCTCTCTTTGACATAGCCCCGGTACCACTCCTGATGCACCTTCCCGAGTCTGGCAACCTCAGCTGTCAAAGGCGGTACATTTCTGAAATGATATTTCATCGGAAAAAAAGTTCATCCAAAATGTAGATAATGTTTCTTAAGAAAAGTGGAACAAAAGTTTCAGACCAAAAGAACGCCCTGCTGAGAGGAGGGAAGAAAACACAAGCCCTACTTGTTAGCTCAGGTGTGTTTTCTCCCTGTACTGTGGGGATTTTGCTATGGCCAGTGCTTCAGCCAGCCATAGCCTGTCAGTCCTCCCTAGTATTGGTCTTCACTTGCTTGAGTTTGCTCTTTATAGATCCTTGACATTCTCTGGAGTGATCCAAGAAGCCAAAATGGCTGTGCACCAAACAAGCGCCGGGGAGGAGGTTGTTACTTTGGTCCTGATGTCACTGCCAAGCTGTTTGAAAGGTACCATCTGAAGATGCTCATCAGGTCTCATGAATTTAAGCCGGAAGGTTATGAGATCAGTCACGATGGGAAGGTAAGATGCTTCCATATAAAGCAGAATTCTCCTGTGAATTTCACAGGCATATCCACAGTAGATCTGTCTGCAAAGTTAATTAAAATGGGTTTGGGGGAATTGTGTGCTAGATAGATGTTCGAACAAATTACGGAGTTGTGGCAAACAACATCCTTTACAGCTTCAGGGAGTGGGGAGTGGCTTATTATTCGTGTGAAAATAAATTAATATCAACAAAATCCCTGAGGAGAGTTGTGAGTAAATACAGTGCAAGAGGTGCTCTAAGGCTCTAGAAGCCTTTTAACTTACTTCCTCTTCTGGCCCTGCTTTCTGACATGCTGTATCAGGAGGCCAGCAAGAATCCTGTAACCCAGGTCTACCTTAGGGAGAGGTTTCTGCTAAACAGCATGTTACATCACAGTGCCCTCTGAAGGGAAGACTTCCCGTGACAGGCCAAAAATACAGGCCTGTGCGAGTGATTCGGTGAACAGCACAGTTTTTATATGCAGACACTTGATCTTGTAACCAGCATGTTTTTCTAAGCTCAGTTTCAGAAATCAGTCTCAAGAAGAGTTGTTCTAGCCAATCCAGTTTCTTTGTTTCCTGTGAGCAGGTTATCACTATATTTTCTGCCTCTAACTATTACGAAGAGGGGAGCAACCGGGGAGCGTACATCAAACTGAATCCTGAACTGATTCCTCGGTTTGTACAGTATCAAGTCAGCAAGTACACACGCAGGCAGAACCTTCGGGAGAGGTAAAGCTGTGTGTTGTATGCAGTGCGCGTGTACTCACTTAGCGCGTGAGAACCTGCCACAAATCTATAGCTCGATTGAATAATTGAATAGCCATCCATTTTTCTCAGTTTTCCCTGTTTTCCTATTTTACAATTTAAAAATTAATACAGCAGACAAAACATGTTCTAAGTGCTCTAACTTGGTTTCCGGGGAAACTCCCATAGGTAATTACACACGGTAAGTGGTTAGAACAGACAATTGTCAGGGATGCGTAAAGGGTCTGCACCTGTCTGTCAGGTCTGCTTTAAGGCTGCAGCGTTAATCTGGACAAATCCTGTTATGAATTGAGTCCAAAAAGTTTGTCATGACAGCTTTGCCATGCCTAGCACTGTGGTCAGATTTACTAAAGCAAAGCAGCTTAGAATTACCTGCATAAACTCGATTATCTCATAAGTTCAGATTATTCTTACGGGGCTTTGTTTGTTTTATTGGTTTTGGGGTTTTTTCCCCCAGTGTTGTTTCAGGATGACCCTAAACATACTATTAAAGGATATAAGAATTTGATAATGAATGTTGAAAAGCGTAAAATGCTGGAGGATTTAAATCCTTTAATGATCTGCTCTGCATTTTTTTCCTTCTAGGGTGGGTACAATTGAATCATCTGCCTTAAAGTCCCTACGAGAGAAGATTTACGCTCACAGATCTGAACTCACTAGTGCGTTTGCACAGTATGACCTCAACGGCACAGGTAACACTGCCTCGCTGTCCAGCTGCCACCGTGGGGAAAACAGCTTCCGGGGTGGGGGGGGCGAGGGGCAGCAGG